TATTATAATGTATAATTTTTATAGTTTTAAAATATTAATTTATTAATAATATTATTTCAAGTCAACTCGAGTCAAGTTGAGTTAAATTGAGTTTAAATCGAATTGAGTTAAATATTTAACTTGACTCAAATTTGATTTGACTCACAAATTATCAAGTCAAATAAATATAAACTCAAATTGATTTAAACTCGACTTAGCTTATCTGACTCGTAAGTTAACTCAACTTATCTAAAACTCTAACTAAAATATTCTGTTTTAGTATCAAAAACTTTTCTATAGTAGGAATTCACAGCCATTGAAAAATAAGATTCTATCTTTAAACTTATATTCTCACAAGTACACAAAAAATCAGGTTTGTATTTATTTTCTTTATTTTGAATAACTATAATATTAAAGTTCTTACCATTCAAGTTACAATTAATATGCATATATAAGTAATATGATACTGTTAAAACTATAGATTTATTCTTCAATTCTAGTAAAATATTTTTCCACCAACTTTGCATAAAATACTATAATGTAATTCTTGAGCAATATGTCTAATTCCTAAAAGGTTTAAAGTAAAGCAGCATCTCTTAGACATTGCAATTAGAACAAACAACTCAGCATTCAGAAATGCAATTTTTATTTAATAAAGTCTATCAAATTTTTATAATTTTTATATAATTTGTTGATCATTTTGATCAGTTGACTAGCGGATCATCAATTAATAAGTTATAATATTTTTTTATAGATTACAGTATATATTTTAAATTAAGTACAGTTAATATTTGATATAACGAATTTTGATATAGCAAATTATTTGATATAGCGAATTTTTACTGTGATATGGATTTTAACATATGAAAAATTTTTTGATATAGTATTACAATTTTATTAAATTTTTTTTTTTTTTAATAATCTATACATTTAATAATTATGGCTTTTCTTAGTATTTAGATATTTAAAAATTTAAAAAGCTTATTTATAATTATTATTAAAATTTAATAAAAACCTTAGCTAAAAAATATAAAATATTTTTAAACAAAGCTTTTCAAATTATTAACATTTAAAATAAAAATTAGAAATACAAATAATTAAAAATTTACTATTAAACAAAATATTAAAATATTAAAATAGTAAAAGAATAAAATATATATTTGATTTAAATTATATTTATTTATTTAATATCGTTAAAAATATGTATAAAATATGATAATTTTACATAATGTTATGATTTGAAATTTGAAATACTAATCATGTGATTTTATTTGTGGTTATTATAAGAATAATAAGCAACCTATTATATTAAATAATTTTAATAAATAAAAGTTTTTTATGACGATTAATCAACTAAGAAATAACTAATTTATAATGTTCAGAACGGTTCGAAATCTAGTTACGGGCTAATATTATTTTCTTTCATATAAAACATAAATTGTTCAGGTATCTCTTCCATAATAGCTTTAGGCAAAGAGTAACGCGCCGCGTCCGTACTGAACTCGTTCATCGCAACGAATTGTACGATGTCTCTTCCAACCGTTACCGGCGCATCAGTCAATGGATCGATTTCTTGCTATTTAAATCATAAATCAGCATGTATTCACCCTAGTTAATAATATCAGAACGAAAAAATAGGAAAACATACCAATTCCAATGGTTTATCATCCGCATCAAGAATATTCATATTTGTAAAATCAGCATTACCTACACCTACAATAACGATCGAAAGTGGAAGTTTCCTAGCCCTTACAATAGCACGTATTGTGGTGTCCATATCCGTGATGACTCCATCTAATCGTATAAAAAATACTTAATAGATCTTAAAGAGTGATACCAGAATCAATAAAAATGTACCTGTAATGATTAATAATATATAATATACGTCCTCGCCTTTGCTTATTTCGTTTTTAATAATTGCTGCAGTATGGTTAATAACCTATGTAAATCCATTACTTTAGTATTAAGATTTTTCCCCCAAAAAATCGAAACTAAAATAAGCCAAATATATAAATTTACCGGTGAAAAGTTTGTTGGACCATACAATTCAACATTATTGATTGTTTTTCGATATACGTCCATTATACCATCTACACCAAAAACTTCTGGCTAAAAATTAAAGATAACCAAAAATCGTAAACAAAACTTTGAAAAATAAATAACAACGTATATATAATTGTGCGAGATAATCTTACGTTTTCAAAATTATCGTTCAGTGGGTAAGTATGCGATAAATTTCCGTGGAATTTTCCCCCAAATCCATACACCGGAATCATTTTATCAGAATCGTATTTTTCTAATCTAAATAATCACAAATTAGTAAATAAGTTGAGCCAAACAGGAACAATAAAACTTAAATGTATCTTACATTGTTCCAACGCTGCGGATCGCTTGTTGGTAGTCATTTTCTTTGTTACCTATATAATGCAAACTATCTGGCGTTCTTGGGTCTTTATTAGACTCAGTAAAGTCAATGGCTACTACTAAATTAATTTGTGTGCCACTAGCTATATAATCTAAAAATGTTGGTGTTTCCTTTAAAATTACTTTAACAACTGTAAGTATAGAATCTTTAGGAGCATGTCCATTAAATCCGGTTGGAATCCTTAATTGGAAAGATCTGGTATCCGTCTCTTCTATGAGCTCTCTGAGAGTTAATGTACATTGTCCAAGTAGTACATGTTCTATACAATATATATAATAAATAAATTTTAGTAAAACAAAAATATATTTATATAATGTATATAATGCAATAAGATCATTACCTCCGTTCCTTTTGTCATTTTTGATTTGTATTCGCAATGCTCTGTCCAAATCACAATTGCATAATGTACTTTCTTTTACTGAAAAGTCAAAAAATATATATATACACATAATTCTATAAGTATACATGATTAGAAGGCTAAATAGTACGAATAAATGCTTACTTTCAATTTCAGGCCATAATGGATTCACTGACGAAATAGGTTCTGATTTATAGACTGGATCATACGTCCCGTCTTCGTTAGCGCGACTTAAAACTAGAAAGGCTTGGGGTGTTGATTTCAAAAATAGCTTCTAAAAAAAAAAAAAAAAAAAACTCGTTACTTTCGTTTCAAATATTCTATAATAAATTCGGCTGAATTTACCTTTGTGATATTCTGAGCATGGAATTGCAACCTATTGATAAAAATAAACGACATTAATACAATAATAATCACTTATAAATTGGGGTTCATTGCAAAATTAATTAATTGTCTAAATTAGTACTTCACGTCTCTATTCGACTCTTTAACTTCCATGGCCGAAACAGTTATGAAATTATTACTTCTATCATCTGATGTTAACCTTTTTTTCACTTTTTTACCTGCAGAGGAAACTATGGATGAATTTAAAGTTAATTATGTAACAGATCAAATAAATCAATTATCAAGCTGTAATAAAAAAAATAGAAATAAATAATACCAATTGATCCTAAATCATAATCTAAATGACCAATGACCTCTTGCGCATTCCAATCCGGGTTATTAGGTTTATTAACGTTAATGCATATAAATCTAAAAATAATTGACGATAAATCAGAAAACAAGAAAAAAAAAAAAAAAAAAAAAAAAAAAATTCTAAATAACCTGAATTGTTGCAATTCCTCAAAATAATAATCGACATATATACCGGTAACAAACTTTGGTTTCGAATAATTCACTATTACTTCCGTTTCATATGGGGTCGACAACCAAGTTTGAGTTCTTGAATCTTTGACTAAAAGTATTACTTTTGTCGAAAGGGGGTAGGCTAATTCACATGAAATTTTTAATTCTAATTTTGCATGTGCATGTCTTCTCTCAGGTACCTTAGACATTGCGATTAAAAATGTTCGAGTGATAAGTAAAACGTAAAAACGGTGAATATTCGGCTTTAATTAATTTCATGATAGGTAAAACAATGAAGTATAAATACTGAAATATCGTGTCATTCTATGTCGGATTTACATTGTAATTAAATGTATTGTTGTACGAAGGAGTTTATGTTGAATGATATTCTAAACATGGAAATTTTTTAGGACAAAAAAAAATAGATTTGAAAAAGAAAAATGCGATATCATAGATGATCTTTTAATATTATAAATAAAGTTAATTCCATGAAATTTTTCAACAAAATCATATATGGGAAGATGCTAGAAAAATCAGATTTTGAGAATTTTGACTAAAATTAAGACCTTATTAAGCTATTAATATCTTAAATCTAAAATTTCGGTCGTCCATGGATCATGGGTTAAAATTTGAAAATTTAGTTCAGCATACATCTTAGACTTTTGCTATATAGCTATATTGATTTTTAATAGTAAATTTTTAATTTTATAGTACTATTCTTAGAAATAAAAAAGTGTCGGTAATGCAGTAATCATATTTTTATTTTTTAATGCTCATAGATTTTTTGAGGTATGAATATAATATTTCTGTTCAATTACATGTTAAATGAATAATAACTTTTTTATAGTTTTTCTTTATTTTATTTACAGAAAGTGGATCACGTACTAAAGTTTTTAGTGTTCAAGATCCCATTAAGCCTAAAATGATAAAAAAAAATTAATACAAATAAATGAATATGAAAATTAATAAATACGTTCGAATTAAAATTATAAAGAACTGCATACTTTAAGTTCAATCCATCCAATCCTTGGAAAATTTTTTTTTCAGAAATAGTCCAAATAATCAATAGAAGATTTGTAAATCGCGTGTAATTTTCTATAATTCAATAAAAAAGTTTTAAATAATACACGTCTAATATATTTTATCATACCTTAATTTTGGGGTTAGGCATAACCATCTTTTTCACAAAATCTTGCTTTCAAACAACATTTGGTCTTTCCTTTTGTCATATTTTTTCAAATTCTTAGAATTCTAAAATTTATCCCTTAAACTGTAGAGGTTCGCAAGCAAATTTGCCTGCTTATTTACTATAAATTCCCTTCTGATTTACTTTT